ATTGCTCTAGTTAGGCTTATTGGAGACCATAAACAGCATTGTCTGGAGGTCAAAGTCTTTATGTTAGAAAAAGACGATAAAATATAGTGTAACAAGTTCTTTTCCCTAATTCCAGGAAAAAAGTTGAATCTGTTCACTACCCAGTCTACTGTGGGGTTTGCAGTAGCATTTAAATAATGTATATTTTCCAGCAATTATTCTAACCGAAGGAGAATAATTTACTTTTTAAAAATTAATTTACCTCAAACCCTAGCAGAAAGCTATTCTAGTATAGCTTCCATTGAACAATAAATTTCTTGTTGCTGAGACTCTCTTAAGTCACAAAAGTCCTCAATGGGTCATTTATCTCACATTCTCGTTGATTACCCAGGAAAACATTAGATTTGTGAAGTTGTTCTAAAAGAATGAATATCCCTAGCTTAAGCCATTATAAGTTTGTAAGTAAACTTTTGAAACCTCCTCAATGATTCCAAACTTAAGTGAAAGTCTCACTTTTATCAGGAATTTCTGCATTTAAAAATCAGGAGAAAGCTTCTAAAACACGAACTAAATAAGTATCTTTATTTTTACCTGAACACTGACTACGATAATTAAAGATGTTGCCATAGTAACAGCAAAAGACTGATAGTCAGCAATGGGTTTTCCATCTTCACCAGCTATGTTATAAAATGCACCGTATGGGATGAAGAAAAGAGCAAAAGAGGTATAGATTCCATATGCTATGCAGATAAAAAACTTGCGTTTATTAAACAGTAGATTTAGTTGCCCAGGTTCATAGAGTTTTGAATAATCCATACTATTCTGCTCACTCACATCCTATAAAAAATAATATGAAAAGAGTGTTACTTTAATAATGGCACAAAATAAAAACTTATATGACAGATTAGGTGGAGACATTCATGTCAAAGGGAAGAATAAATTTCCCTTGATGATCATATAGTCTCATAACTGAAATGTGCTTACAGACAGAGGATAGGATTCCCTTCTCCCACTCTATCCCTTTGGCCTTTCTGGCAGGGCAAGAGAGATGCCATACAGCTATCTTTCTCTGATGATGGTTAGAAAGGGGTGGGAGAGTCACCAAGGACTACATTTCTACTACTTTAGCCTGAAATGAGGAAAAATCCAACTCAGAACAGCATTACAGCCAGAATTTGTTGCATTCTAGAAATCCTCAATTGGTGCATAGTTTAATTTTGAAAAAGCTGGTGCAGAATCAGTCAAAGAATCAGGAAGTAATTACTGATGCTGAGGCCATTGGTGGGGGCTGATTCCCAGCATATGCTGAAATGAGGTGAGGCAGATAATGTGGAAGAATAAATTATACAATATATACATTTAAAGATGACTTATTGTAGCATGAAGACTATCATTATACTGCTTCTTTTTGAGACATGATACAAATAAGATAAAATTGTACCTGGTCAAACAACCCCATTGCTAGTACAGGAAGTGAAGTATAGACGATGTTGAAGAGGGTGATAAACCACTGGTCATAAACAGTCTGAAAAATAGATGCAGGTTATAACAAGTTATCACACACGTCATTTCCAAAGTTTTCATTATAATAATTTGCAACAACAAAAGACTTTACCCCATTCATGGAACAAATGAATTTTGAAAACAAGTGAAAAAACATTTATTGGTTTAGTGATCTGTTTTGTATGCAAGGGATTACCAATGATTTTTCACGACACTTAGTTGAGGCACATATAATAACCAACAAACTGCTTGTTTACTGCATTTTTCTTCAACATAAGAAAAAAAGGCATAAGCTTAAATCCAGTCTGGAAATCACCAAATCATAGTATCATAGAAAATTAAGGTTGGAAGGGACTTCAGGAGGTCCTTTAGTCCAACCCCCTGCTCAAAGCAGGACTGGCCCCAGCTATTATCATCCCAGCCAAGGCTTTGTCTAAGCCCTAAAAACCTCCAAGGATGAAGATTCCACCTCTTCTCCGGGTAACCTGTTTCAGTGTTTTACTACCCTCCTAGTGAGAAAGTTTTGCCTAACATGCAACCTAGACTTTCCTTGCTGCAACTTGAGACCATTGCTCCTTGTTCTGTCATCTGCCACCACTGAGAACAGTCCAGCTCCATCCTCTTTTGAACCCCTCTTCAGGTAGTTGAAGGCTGCTAATAAATCGCCTCTCAGTCTTCTCTTCTCCAGGCTAAATAAACCCAGTTCCCTCAGCCTCTCCTCAGAAGTCAAACGCCCCACCCCGCAAAACATTTTTGTTGCCGTCCTCTGGACTCTTTCCAAGGTGTCCACATCCTTTCTGTAGTGGCTGACTTGCAGGGATATAGCAGTAGGAAGATCCAGTCACAGATGTGAGAAATACCTGGATATGACTGTACACATTACTTCACTGGGGATCCAAGGAAACCTAGCATGTTAATATGTGGCTATTGCTCAGTTTGATTTTGAGTTTAATCAATGTTCTAAATATTTAGGGTACTTATCTTGGCATTAAAGAAAAGAGTCCTATCACCAAAATATCTTAAGAGCTGACACAGAGCTGACTAGAATCTGGGTTGGATATTATTTCATGATCTCATGGGACATTTGTTTCCTGCAGGGTTCAGTCAAGCCAGAAACACAGTACAAATAACTTCCCCCAGTAGCATAATGGGGAGCGGGGACAAGCTGACTAGGGCAGCAGCCCTAGGCACAACCTCTGTTGTGGGGGAGCAGGTTACAAAAGCAGTTGCTGCTCCAGCAGTGGCTGACTGAGTTACTGCAAACAGCATGACAGGAACTGGCACTGCCCCAGGTGCTACATGGCTGTCCATAGAGCTGTGCTGCCCTTGGCCTTCCCTGCAGTAGCTTCATATTTAAACTCCTAGTCTCAGACAAAACTAAAATCTGCAGAGGCGCACTGACTTAGAGAGTGAAGGTGAGAGTCATTTTATCTGATCCAGTTTGCCCTTCCCTGCACACACATCCATAGCAAGCACATGTGAGAACAAGGGAAATGCAGAATTTCATGCTAAATATAAACTTGCACACAAGTCTTCAAAGCTCTGGGACTAGATGAACTTGTAAACAGGAAACACATTACTCACACTTGAAACCAGATCAAAAGTAGTCAGTTAAGTGGCACCACAATGCAACCAACCACTGCTACACAGTGCCACTGAGTCATGGATCCACCTCAGAGGACATCTTGTAGGCAAAGATGCCACTGCCAAAGGAACACATTCCAGAAAAGCACATCTGCTGTGTGCAGCCCACCTACCAGGCATGTTGCCTGGAATAGGCAGGAGGACATCATTTAAGACCTGAAGTGATTAAATTCAGCAGTGCCAGCAACAGTGTGAGGCAGCCCAAGGTAGTAAAGAAATACCACATGTCACTTTAAGTAATGATACTGCTTTTTTTAACTCAACATTGCATCTGAGAAAGCATAATCTATTTACATTTGGCCAACTGTTTTCAGCTGTAGAGTAATTTACCTAACCATAACTTGTTAATAAGAGGCATGCAAAAGAGAGATAAGGATGTCTGGACTTTATTTTAAGTAGGTCCTACCTTATGTATATCAAGCTAGCATATTAAAGTTGTATGTGAGAAAAACAAAAAAGGGGAGCACACTATAGATATTTTCATATAATCAGAAACTGGGGGTAAAATCTACCTCCATTCAAGTCAAGAACAGCTTTAACACTGATTTCAAAGGGACCAGCATTTCACTGTAAGCTTTTATTTAACAAAACTAGGGGTGCACCGATAGAGATTTTGGGGGCCAATACCAATAGCCAATTTTTAAGGAGGCATATCAGCTGATACAGATCTGATTTTCGTTACACCTGCATGCAGCTGGTAAATCTGTTGTGGTGGACAGGGAGGGGGAAAGGGAGGGGAGGGGGGCTGGAATGAGGCCAGCCAGGGCAGGGCAGGGTGGGGTGCTGGATGGAGCCACGGCTTGTCCAGGGGGTGTGGGGGGACTCCCGCCACTGCACACACCCCAAGAGGCCATGGGGGGCATGTGCCCCAGATCTGAGCCTGAGAGTGGGGTGGGCTTCAGCTGCAGGCTGGTGCCAAGGCCACACTAGGCTCTTCCAGCGTGGCCCTGGTGGGGGGGAAGGTTGGGCTGGGCCTGCACTTGGGGCGGGCAGCACTGGGCGGGGGGCTGCAGCCACCCCAATTTCACCAAAGTCCCCACATAGCTCCCTCCCAGTACCGCCACCACCCACCCCAAGTGTAGCCCCCATGCACCAGGAACAGCCCGGTGCCACACTGGCCCCAGCCCACAGTTGCAGCCCCCCCGGCCTGCCCACGCAAATCCAGGGGGCACACCCCCTCCCCCATGCCCTTCTGGGGTGTGCACAGCAGCAGGAGCTGCTCGCCACCCTGCACCCCTGAACAAACCATGGCTTCGTCCCACGCTCTGCCCCACTCCAACTGACCACATGCCCCAGCCCCTGTCCCAATCTGTCCCTCCCTTACCACAGGGGGTGTTGATCTGCACCCCCATGCCCCTTTCCTCCCCCACCCCTTCCACTACAACAGACTTACCAGTTGGACACATCTCTCCAAGCTGCCAGGCTGTCCTCCTCGCTGCCTTTGTGCTGCACTGCGGCTGTGAGCATTCACGGGCATTTATCGGCCAAATTATTGGCCACATCAGGCTGATTTCCGATATAATCAATTTTCTTTATATCAGTGCCAATCCAATATTGGACCGATACTTAAAACCTTAGTATAGAGTAAAATATACTTTGTCCTCAAAATACAAGCATATTTTACTTTTCTGTAAGGAATGGACAGACTGAACCACCACACATTTATGCCATGCAGTGAGTGCCGCAAAATGGTTGTTAATGAGCTGCTAAACAATTCACTGGACTTTCTAGGTGTTCAGCATCATTTAATAATAATACACCATTCAAACCCATAATTTAAAAATAAACAACAACACAGAATACTTTCTTGCTCCTTTATTTATTAATCTGGGAACTCACAAGGTGTCAATCATTGTAATGTCTATGCCCCATGCATATACATTAAGAGCTTTGTTTATCTCTAGGGATAGGGACAGAAGTTACACATAAACTGGTTTAAGTGATGAGAAACTGGTTCAAATCTATAACCCAACAGAAGTTCAGTGCACTTAATCTGCTTTCAAAATGGCTGAAACTAGTTTAAGATACACTCGGTTTGATATAGTATCAGACTGAACTGATTTAGGTGAAACCGATTTATGGAACTTCTGTCCCAGATCCTCCCCCACCCCCCCACCAGTTCAAGTTAACTCACAGTCCCCCAGCCTCTCAGGATGCTTTGCAGCCCTGGGCTGTACTATCTGTTGCAGCAAAGCAGGGTTGGCTCTGCCCCTCTGCTTCCTAGCTAGAGCACTATCACTGCTCTGGCTGGCTGAGGAGGGGTCTGGGGGGGAAACCTGGCTCCAGACACCAGCTGGGGTCTGTTGTGGGGGACGTAGCCCCTTCCAGGTGCCCCTGCCCCCTATCCCCTGCTGAAGTAGAAAACAGCGAGGGGACACAGCCTGGGCCAGCATACCGAGGCAGAGGGGAAAGGGCAGTTTAAAACCCCTCCCTGCCCCACACCGGACCCAAGCCAGGGTCTGCCTGGGGTGGGGGTAGGGCTGGGGAGCAGCCCCTGCCAGGCTCTTCCCCACTTGAGCAGAGAGTGGGGGGTATGACCAGCCCCCAGCCCAACCCCACAGGCTGAGGTGGTGGGGTTTATAGAATCATAGAAGTAAGGTCAGAAGGGACCTTGTAGATCTTCAAGTCTGACCCCCTGCCTGGGCAGGAGAGAAACTGGGCTCAAGTGACCCCAGCCATGTAGGCATCGAGCCACTTCTTAACGACCCCCCAGAGAAGGAGCCAGCACCACTTCCCTTGGAAGTTGGTTCCAGATCCTAGCCACCCTAACTGTGAAGTAGTTCCTATGGATGTCTAATCTAAACCTACTCTCCAACAACTTGTGGCCATTATTTCTTGTTATCCCGGGGGGAGCTAGGGGAAACAAGGTCTCCCCCAAACCCTTCTGGTCCCCTCTAGTGAGTTTATAGACGGTCACAAGGTCCCCCCTCAGCCTTCTCTTGTGAAGGCTGAACAGGTTCAGGTCCAGTAGCCTCTCATTGTAGGGTCTGCCCTGTTGTCCCCGGATCATGTGGGTGGCCCTCCTCTGGACCCTCTCAATGTTGTCCACATCCCTCTTGAAGTGGGGTGCCCAGAACTGGACACAGTATTCCAGCTGTGGCCTGACCAGTGTCGCGTAGAGGGGGAGGATCACCTCCTTGGCCCTACTTGAGATGCACCTGTGGATGCACGATAGGGTCTGGTTAGCCCTGCTGACCATGACCTCGCATTGTTGGCCTATGCTCATCTTGGAGTCAAAACTCCCTCCCTGGCCCGCAGGGAACCCCAGCCAGAGTCAGGAGCAGGTAAATGCCTAGGAGGGATTGCCTCCCCGTGACCAAGCAGACACTGGCTGGGGTCCCCTGTGGGCCAGGACAGAGTTTAAACCCTGCCCTCCTGCCTCAGCCTGCGTGGCCAAGCTGGGGCCTGGCCATGCCCCCCCTGCTCTCCACTTGATCAGGGAGCAGGGAAAAGCTTGTCAGCCACCCCCGACAGACCCCAGTGGGGGTCCCATGTGGGCCAGGGAGAGGATTTACACCCCCCTCTCCCCAGTGTGCTGACCCCAGGCCAGGCCCTGGCCATGCCCACCCCCCTCCACTGGAGCGGGGAGCAGGGAAAAGTCTGTCAGGGGTTTTGCCACCCCCCTCCCCTGGCAGACCTCTGGGTAAGGGAGGTGCAGGCCAGTGTTGGGGTTTATACCCTCCCCACTTCATACTCAGTGGGCCAGCTGAGGCCTGGCCATGCTCCCCCTTCTCCTCTCGAGTGGGGGAGGAAGGGGGGAGCCTTGAAAGGCTTCTCTTCCAGCTTTTCTCCCTTCCCTTCAGCACTGGCTGGCAGGCTGGGAAGGATGCTCTGGCACCCCCCAGCATATGGCCTGAGCCACCGCAGTAATATGACTGCATTTCCAGAATCAAAAGTAAATGTCTATTCACTTGCTTCTCAGTTCAATCTATGAAGCTTAAACTAACCTCCTGTGAGAAATTAATCAATTCAGCCTCCGGCTTTTTGACTGTCTGTACTTAGCCTAAAAGCTGGGCCCTTCTGCCACTTTCATTACTGAGAGAAAGCTAGTGGAATGAAAGAGAGTCATCTGGCCCTCTAAATAGCTCATACATCAGCTATGTCTGCTACCAGACCCCAACAATTTCAGATTGGGTTGACCTAGTCAAAGTTCCCATTCAGTTCACTGCAGTTTTGGCAGATTGCATAGAAAAGTGGTTCAGGTTAATAGAAAGTCTGAAAGAATTTATAAATTATGACCAGGATTTGCAACTGGCCTAGAACTCAGTACAGAATGCAGAGCACCAGTAAGTATAGTTAAGCCAGAGTGCTTAAAAGGCTAAGAAGGTTTTATCCAAGCGTTGCTGTGGTCAAACAGGACACTGGACTGGGAGTCAGGGGACCTGGAGTCTATTTTCAGCTCTGCCACTGACCTCAGTCAAATTAGTTTCTTTTTCTCTTTCTCCTCCTAATCTTGTTCTGTCTTGCTTATTAAGAATGTAAGCTTTTTGAGGTAGTAAGTATTTCTTACTGTGGCGGCGAGGCACCCCGACATTCTCAAGGGGAGAGAGTAGACTCCATGGGCTCCAGACCCCAAGAAAAAGCCCCCAGAGGGGCTAACGTGCCTCCTGCAGAGCAGCCGGAGCAGGAGCCGCTCCCGCAGCCGCAGCCCCGTGAACCGGCATTACGCTGGCTGTTTAATCAGCTGTTGCCAGCGCGGGGAACAGCTGAGCCAATCCCAGTGGCCATACCAGCCACTGTGGGAAAGTTTAAAAGCCCCGCTGGAGCTGGGGCGGAGAGAGAGCCAGAGAGAGGGAACATGGGCTGGCAGCTTGTGAGTCGGGCTCCGGCATGGGGAGGAGGGAACCCAGCCTGCATGGCTCAAGCAGGCAGTGCAGAAAGCAGGGCAGAAGCACCTGCACAGCTGCCAGAAAAAGTGGATGTCAAGGAAGCAGGGGAGCTCCCTGCTTATGGTAGGGGAGAGGAGGCATCGGAGACCCCGAAAGGGGGCTGGGATAAGGGAGGCAACCCTACAGCCCCTTCTTACTCAGAGGAATACTTCCTTTGAAGAAAAAACTACCCCAAGAGGGGAGAAAGATCGCCGGGAGCCCGGTAGACAGGTCCCCGGTCATCATACAGGACCAGAAGACAGCATTAACCCATCACCAACCGGTTGGCGAGTAGACGAGGTGTAGGGGAGGCGGAGCCCCGTGGAACATCACGTCAGATGATCGTAAGTACCACCACCTGTAGGGGAGGCCCACCCAGGAAAGATCTCCACTGCAGACCCCTCTTAAAGTACAGTTAACATCAAAGTCGCGGTGGGCGAGTTGAGGGGAGGGGCCACACCCCGACAGGCCGGGTGGCAAAAGGTGCGCAAGCCTCACACTTACTATATACTTGCATAATGCCTAACACATCCTAGTCCTGGTTGCGTTCTCCAGGCCCACCAAAATCAAATGATGAAAAATAATAAATACAATTCAAAAGACAAAGCCAAATGCCAAGAGCTGCCAACTAGCTAAACTGGATAGGTGCTGTGCAACCACCAGAATGTAGGATAAATGTGCAAGCTTTGGAGAATTTCTAATGACAAAATCAAATATCAAAACTATTCTCTATAAGTAGTTAAGCTAATGATCCCCAATCATACAGCTACAACTGCCATCAGTCATCTATGAAATCTCCTTTCCCTGAATTTTATTCTATAGACTTCCAGTTTTGGAAGGGTCACATGAGAAGATATCTAAAACCAATATTCAAACAAACTCTTCTCATTTTCATCAAATTATTTAAGTGCATCCCACAAAGTACAGCGGGTTGAGAGAAAAATGTATAGTAAGAAAGCTTACTATTTAAAACATAGTTATGTAAATTTTCCCTATTATTGAATCAATCAAAAGGTCTAGAAAACCTTAAGTCTTACAGCCAATTATGTAAAAGCAAAATTAAATTATTAAGTTGATTAAGATGAGCCAAAATGGCAAAGTATTTCTAAAAAAATACTGATGTTCTTGTGTTCCATAACAGCTTTTTAAAACCATGTTGTTTGATAAATCATACCAAATATTATGTTTAATTGCTGAAATTAAAAACACTCTATCTTTCCCCAGAAGCACAAATGATGTTTCCCAAAACTCAGATTAATATATTTCCACCATTATTCATACTTCCAGGAAACTCCTGATCCTTCTGGAGCCAAAATAGCTGGCCTCAGTCATGACTCCCTCTTTCAACATTCCCACTGCATGTTTCTTCAGAAAATGGCACTGCTCCTGTATCCCACACATCTCAGCCCCAGCATTTCATTTGAAGTGCCAGTACTATGTGGGAGCCTGGAGGTTTAGACACTACCCCTCGCATCCCTTCCTGGAAAGTAAACAAAGGAGGCCAACTTTCCTTCTCCTATTCTCTATACAAGAGACTTGCACACCTAAAAAAATGAAAGGGTTGGCTACTGATTTACTAAATGACCTCTAAGTGTATCAGAAGAAGCCCCACTTAACTAATCAGCTAAAAGCCACAAATTGAGCTGCTGGCCACAATAACTTCTGCTTGAATACACAGATGCCTAATATGGAAAAACATTTAATAAAGTTCAGGTAGGGATACATGGTGGATCAAGAGGAATAAAAGTAAATTTGACAGGTAGGATTGTCTACTCCACAGGTGACAGCTGACAGAGAAAGAGCATTTGCTCAGAAATGTAACATGTATCATCAACTGAAGTGGAAGTTTTTGGGGGAGATCTTGTCATGCTTCTTGGGAAGATGGTAGAACTGTAATACCATCTTCTAAAATACAGATTTGACTATTACCTCTTACCTGTAAGAAAAAAAAAAGACTGAAATCCAAATAAACAATAAATAAGCCAAACAAAACTGAAGGCTCCTCCTCCCATTCAAACCTGGACACTGATAAGTGCAGATGACACTTAAATAAAAGCCCTCTCAATAATGGGGTATGTTAAACACATACATTATTTTGTTGATTTATAAACTTAGCTGCCAAGTACTAACCTGAGCTGAGAAGCCACAGAAGAAGCCAAACCAGAAATGCACCAGAGTGAAGGCAAAGTTTTTGTAGAAGAAATAGCACAAAAATTTGCACATTCTGAAATAGGACCACCTGCCATGGACAAGCAGCAGCCTTTGAAGGTATCTGAACTGGGCAAAGGAGTAATCACTGGCCAAGACAGCTTGCATTCCTTCCTGGCCACTGATGCCAACTCCTATGTGTGCACCTGCAAGTAAAGAAGAAGCAAGTCTCTACTAAGTATTTACAAAGTGGCTCTTGGCTCCTGCCCAGAGCAGCAGCAAATAATACAGAGGGAAGGTTCCAGATCACCCAGGTGGAGATGGTTCCACTAACAGTCTCTGCTGGGCTCCTGCTTCCAGCTCCACATACATAATTTTATTATTAATTTTACTGTATAATTTTATCAAAGTTGTTAATAATCTATTACTACTGTTTTTAAAGATGTCAATTTACTAATCTACCCCAGAGGACAGTTTAGTTATTGAGAAATAATTAATGTTGATTAGAAGGTACTGTTGTTTACAATGTAATAATATAAGCCTGATCTAATGAAACTGTAAGGCAGTTATTAAATTACAGAGAACACCTTAAAATTAGCTTTGGCAGGACAATTCATATGAATTGTGCAGTCTCCTCTCATTCTCAGTTACTTAGGAAGGGTTAGCCCTCTTTTTAATATACAGTAGTTTTGACTGCAATTATCTCCCCAGAGTCAATGAGCAAAGTAAAGCAATTAAAGAACCATTTCAAGTATGGGTACATGTTCAAGTATGGGCGTCATCTGTTAAATCAGAAATTCTCTGTTATCAGGATCAAAGGTAAGCCATTAGGGGATCCCCAGTTCATTCAACTATGTTATTTATTTAGATTTAACAGAAGAGCCCAAGATAAAGAAATATGGTGGAGCCTTGTTCTTGCGCTAAGCAATGGGGCAGCCTGGGAAGATTCACATATAAATATCAGTTCATTATCAGGCAAACCTTAGCATACCATTGATATTTGTATTAATGCTTTTAATAGAACTTTACGATAAAACATGCTCTTACTTTTAATCATGTTAATATCATTAGCTCCATCCCCAATAGCCAAGGTGACTGCTTTCCTGTATTTCCTAACCAGCTCCACAACTTGTGATTTTTGCAAAGGAGTGACTCGACAACAAAGCACCGTTTTACACATGAAGGCAACTTCCAGGAATTCTTTCTCCAGGTCAGCCTCAAGCGCATGAGCCTGCAACAGACAAGGTCAGTCAGCTGGCTTTGTAGCTATAATCAGTAGAAAACATGATATTGTGCAGGAATTGAGAACTCTTTGCAGACAAATGCAGTACAAAACTATATTTTCTTTCCAAAGTAACTAATTTCAGAATTACCAGTATTTCAAGCAACTGAAGCTTTAGTAGATACTATCACATCTGCCAGAGAGCAAAATATGTGTCTCGTTAAGTGCATATAGTAAATATATCTATATATTTATCACATATAATCCTAACACACACAGTGAAAACTAATGTACAATCTATATTTCATTGTAAAACATTTGATTTAGCAAGTACATATACAATACAGTATGAATAAGGAAAAAAAACCAAAAACTTGTCCTAACATTGGACAGATTACAGCTGTAAAAGACAAGCATTTGTCTTTGCAACCAATTTAATAAGAATCAAAAAGAAAGATTTAATCCAGTGAACAATCAGCTGCATGGACATTCAGATGCAGACAGGCTGTGAATCTTTGTGGCTCAGCACTGATGGAGGCACTTCACAACTGAGACCCAAGAGTATGCTGCCAACCTTCACTACAGAGCATCTGGCCAGCACTTGTGGTCTGCCCTGCTCCTTTGTACAGATACATAATTGCTGACTTAATCATGTGTGGCATGCAGCCAGGGACACAAAAACTGCATAAAATATTTCCATTTTTCTATATATTATGGAGTTTTATTTAGTGTATGATAAAATTTTCACTGGACTATCAGAGGAGACATAACTGCTGAAGGTCCTAAGCAAGAGGGAGGAAGGGAGAGAGAAGTGTTACAAGCCAGGGCAGATCCAGAGCGGGGTGCAGTGGTGTGGCTGTACCCCTCCTTTTTGATTTCACCATGGGACTTTTAGAAGTCCCTAAAACATGTGAATATCCTCAAAGGCACACCACCTCTCTCTGCCCAACTTTCCCTGATGTCCTGGGACAGAGAAACCCCAAAGCTGTTCCTGCCTGCTGCACAGGGGCTGGGCTCAGCTGGGGATGGGGACAACAGCAGCAAGCATGGATGGTGTTCTGCTTCTCTGGGCCTGCTCTGGGCACACTGGAGAAAACTACTCTCCTGCCACATCATTGGCACTGTTCCCTTCCCAGCTGAGCTCAGCACCTGTTCAGTTTAGCTGGGTCTGGAGCATCCCTGCCCTGGAGCAGTAGAGAAAGCAGCAGCAGGCAACCTGTAGTGCATGTTACTGTTCCCACACCCTCTTTGGGAAATCCTGAATCTGCCCCTGGTTGCAGATTATATGCTTAGATATTATGGTTATAGGTCAGACGAAGATACACAAGTGAGGAAAGACAGTCATCTAAGGACTTTTAGGACGTATCCTGCTACAGTAGCTGGTCCCAGCACTAGGGTTTTAAACATATCCTGCCCAAAAAGTCTATAGACATACTTCAAATCCATAAATTTTCCAATAGGGTTGCTCGTCTCCAGTATCCACTTTCAAGCCTGCTAAAGAGCAAGGACTCGGGAGTCCTGAAGACAGACAAGCCTCAAGCAGCCTCACTAACATACTTCCAGTTTGGAGTATACCTGCACACTTGAGTATGGAGGGCAGAGATATGGCATATTTCAGTCCCCCAGCATCATGACCTGATGCAGCAACAGTGCATACAAGTCTGTGAAACCCCCCAGGGAAAAGGGCTGAGATATGAACAGATTGCTTTTAATTTGGTTTGGTTTTCCTAAACAAAGGCCATGAACAGGTGGCGAGTTCTAATTTCTCAGAAATTTCCACTGCTAGGAACACTTCCAGAAGAGGCAGTAGTACAAGCATTGAGCCTACAACTGTCCCCCTCTCACTGGCTCCTCACACCTTCCCAAGACTGGGGTGGTCCCAATATGGTGGATTTGCAGGAAGTAGTAGCTGTTCTACTCCCCCGTGTTCCCAGGATGAGGGGGTGGAGTGGCAGGGAAAGACTGCCCATCTGTTCCCAAAACTTGGGTGTCCTCAATCTGGGGAAGCATGAGGAGTCTTTTCTTACTGCTTCACTCCCCTGCTACAGACCAGAGCAGGAAGGGAGTGGAGCAGTTAGGTAAACCCCCCAGCCAGTTCCCCAGACAAGGGACTGGCTGGTCTGGGGAAGAGGTGGAGAGCATTGCCCCACTGCTCCACCTCCCTTCTGGACTGGTCTAGGAAGGGAGCGGAGCAGTGGAGAAAAGCCCCCTGCCTTTTCCTCAGACCAAGCAGTCCCTGATCTGAGGAAGCACAGGAAGGAGCAACAGTAGCTGCTCCCTTCCCAGGTAAGGACCAGAGCAGTAGGACAAAGTCTCTCGGCTAGTCCCCAAATCAGGCTGTCCCCATACCAGGCTGGAGCAGTGGGACAAGGCCCCCACAACCCATTCCTGAGATTGGACCGTCCCCAGTCTGGGGAAGAGGTTGGGAACCGAACAATTACTCCAATCCTGTCCCAGACCAGACCAGGAGGGAGTGAAACAGTGTACAAGCATTCACCCTTGTGAGAGAAACTCTCCTGCCAGGGAGATCTTCCAGGTTTTAACCTTGAAGAACTTTCTCCCAGAAGGGGCATCTTTCCTTTGGGAGAAATTAAATGAATGCTTGTGCGTTCCTAGTTTGTACCAGGAAAGAAGCAATAGAAACAAAGTACCTGTATATGGCCCAAAAGATTGAAGATAAAATTTATCTTTTTTTTTTTTAACTGTAATTTTAAACTATCAAAACAAACAAAAAATGTTTACCTTTCATTGCTTTGCTTCTGTGATGAGATTTGCAGCAAGGATGTTAGGATATGCCTACACATTATAATTTAGTACTATGCAGAGAATCTGAGCTAGCTGTTGACGAACTAGCTTGTGCGCTAGGAACATTAGCCACATTAGCTTATCAGTGATATGCTAATGTGGCTACTGTTCCTAGCACTTAAGCTATCACTGAAACAGGGATCCTAGTTTTCTCTGTTTAAAAAGCCGAAATTCTTTGATTTAAAGGGGGGGAAATACCAAATGCTCTGATTAAAAACCCCAAATCTGCATTTTTCTGCAATTAGAATGAAATGCAGTGTGTGTGTGTGTGTGTGTGTGTGTGTGTGTGTGTGTGTGTGTGTGTGTGTGTGTGTGTGTGTGTGTGTGTGTGTGTGAGAGAGAGTTGAACACAATTATTTATTACAATTTTAAAGCAGTTTGGAAGCCTATCAGTGCCTCAATCATTATAATAAAATAAATTTAATACCTATGTATTTTGGCGTTTGATTTGGGGGTTTTTGTCATAGAAAATCAGAGCTCCCCCTGCCCCCTTTGCTCACCAAGATATGGGTCCAGCTGCAGCTGTCTGTCCCATCCCCTCCGCTGCTTTGTGATGCTAAGCAGCCCCAATATGCCGATGCCCTGCCTCTCACCCCCAACCCACAGCCCCCACAACCCTGCCAGTACCCCTCACTCCCGACAACACAGGCCCCTGCCCCCTTGGCATCAGCCCCCCAGTGTGAGGAAGGATGTGGGTGTGTGGCGAATGGGGAAGGGTGGGGTGTGAGGAATAGAGAGGGGGTGAGGGCACAGGCAACATGTCAGTGGGGCAGGAGGGCACAGGTGACACATTGGGGTGGGGGGCACAGGTGATGCAGCAGAGGGTTTCAAAGGGGGCATGTGCCCCCCCAGATTTTTTCACCCACAGTGGGATGTGGGGCTGCAGCCTGGCTGGACCAGCTATGGGCAGGAGCCACCTATGGGGTCCAGGGGACAAGACCCAGAATGGGAGAGAGTGCTGCAATGCCACGGCTACCAAGGTGAGATGCAGCAGTGGTGGCAGTGCCAAGTTGTCTTTCTGCTGCCGCCAACTGGGAAGGGGGCACCTCATGTTGGCTGTCATAGTAGCCTGGTGCTCCTTCCCACTCTGGGTCCTACCCACTGGGCCTCAGAGGCAGCTGCTGCCTGGAGCTGGTCCAGCCTGGCTGCAGCCCCACACCCTGCTATTAGTGTAGAAATGTTGGGGAGAAAATCCATGTTTTTCCATAGCAAATGGAAAACCTGAATCCCTGCTTATCACTCTGCTTGAATTAATACAATACTTCTACCTTCTCATTAAGAGACAGCTTGGGTATCTCCATCTGGCACTGCATTGTAATATGTAATATGTAGTCCTATCCTTAATGTCAGTGATGGCATTTGTCTCCATAACGTTCTGAGCTGAGCTGATAGTCAGATTCTAGTTTCTAAACCCATGCTGATGAACAATTGTGAAACAGTACTAAAATCACAAATTGGCATGTAAAGCCACTTATTCATGTGCTCTGGGAGGTGTGGGAAGGGGCACTTTAATTAGAGTGGCTCTCACATATATCAGCATCCCCACACTGAAAAATGGTGGCAGGGGAGCTGTAACTAAAGCTTTTCGAACAAACTTTAGTTAAACTGTCCCTGCTGCCATTTTTCAGCACGGGGATGCTGATACACATGACACTACACATGATGTGGTAATTACTGCGCTCCAGGAGACTCAATTAATCAAGTCTTCTCTGACACACTGTAATTACAGCATGTAAGAGCAGCCTTGATGTAGGTGTATAGGCGCCCTAAAAGAGAGATGGCTTCTGCAGGCTAGATAACCTTTCTTTTTGAGAGGGTAATGTAACCTAACCTAAACCTGAGGCCTGCAGCCTTCCATACTATAGAAAATAACACATTTATTATATCTGATTTCACCTGAATAGAGTCATGTGCACTTAGAGTTGGCAGATATGGCTGTGGGGAAATCTTATATAAATATTCATATTTCCATTTAGTATTTTCCTATCCAAAAGCAGCACCATTTCAAAATCAAACCCATAAAAATTATAGTACAGATCAAGGTTTATGAAAGCATTATAATCATCATGTATCTTCATGTGGGACTAATCTCTCCAAAAAGAAGCCCAAGCTTTTAAAAGCCTCTTATGTAAGCAAAACAGAACTTTTTGATATTTATTCAAGATTTTGAACCTGAACTACATTAAAGTAATGTAAGTTTATTCTGTTATGACAAGAACCAGATTTCTTAATCAAAGCAAATTGTTTTGGCATCCCTGTAAAATGCTGATATTTCAAAAACTCGCAGGAGGTATCTTAATTACATTAATTTGGTGAAGTAATTATTTTAAGGTCAGGTTGTGCTCTCAAACAGCAAACATCAGGGGAAAAAATAACAGCATTTGAGCTGCCTAGTTGCATTCTTTTAATTAATTGGCATTGATCTGTGATACTCCCCTCATACAAGTACTTAAAGAATAATAGCAGTGGTCTATTTCTAATTAAGAAGGGATAAGATTGTGTGAACTAGTTCTTGCTATGGGGCCATTCCCACTATGGCTGTGATTAAAAAAAGCTGTGGAGAGTTACTAATTTGATCTTTTCCATATGATTCCAAAAGTTAATAAGTAATTAATTTCTAATTGTTTCTTGCAACTATCAGGCTTTCTTTGTGACTTTCTTATGAAACAGTTTTGGATTTCAAAGAGAAATCTGTCATTGTTAACAGAAAAAAAGATATAATTATTTAAAGTAGGAAGGAAAGGACAAAACCTGAAAACAACCTACTTACCAGGCTATGTCCATTTATGACTAACGCATAATCACCAGTGACAGTTACTTGAAAAACTGAGCCCTGGTTTAATTTTTCCTTTTTTTTACGGAATACATGACCATTGGAAAATCCTTCACTTTGTCCAAATAAACGTTCTTTTGCTTTCCTTAAAAGAAAAAGACAAAAATTGTATATGACACCTAAAAACTTTAATCAGAGAATGATTTTGAGCTAATTTCAGTTCTCCGAGGAAGACAGTTCTTTCAAATGGTGAGGCTCCTGTAGTATGTTTAACTCCCAGGAAATCTGTTGGGTAAGTATTAAGCAGTTGGGAAGAGAATCATCTTGAATGCTTTAAATAATTTAAGAGTTAAATAGCATGCTTAATCTGAGTTTGAATTGACTGACTGATCATCAGTTTGGTATTAAGATTTTCCAGGCTTCAAGAAAAGGATCGGTTTGACACACCAAATACTGTGGTTACATTTAGAGGAGTAAAGGATATTTAAAAAATATGAGGAAAATATTTGTCCAGAGACTCTGTGCAACAAAAGTCCCTTTACTTTTAAACATGTGTGTGCACACATACATACCAGCCCACATATAGTTACAGAACAGCATAACCTCAAACCTGTTAAAACCATACTATAAGTCCATTTACAAATTTACTTAAAAGCAGGTATCCTAAGCAAACAGGCCCAAACCAATGCTAAAATGAAATCTAGTCAATGAACCTATGGCAAGGTGGCATCTGGGATTTGCTATCATCTCCACCTTGCCTCTGAGCTTGACATCTGCAATTATTAAGAGTGAGCCCATTAGGAGCTCAATCTGTCTGATATCACTGAATAGTCCATGTACAGATTATTCTCCCATTTTAGTGATGGATTATGTTATTTCCTTGCTTATAGATTTGTATTTTGTCTGAGATCTTTTTATTATTGTTGCATTCGTCTTGGTTTGTCATGTTACTTTCAACTGCTTTATTTTAGATTATTTTGAAGGATGATTACTTTCACTTTTTAAAGAATTTTGCTGGATTGTACATCACATGACTGATATAAAGCTGGCAGAATGGAGAGCAAATTAGCATCCTATAGATTAAATTAGAGATTTATAAAAAGCATAAGCTTTCACAGCAGTGTGCTTGCTTTATCAGATTATCTAGAGCTGTTCAGTTTTAATTTATGAATACTGTATGTTGCCTGGTTATTGGTGTGTTTGCAGCATGAACATATTAGGTTAGCTTAACACCAGGCTGTCAGGAAAAACAAGAAGAAAGGGAAATAACTCAATATAAACCATTTTGATAAACACGAGAGGGTTATCACAGGACAATAGCAGAGGCACTGGCTTGACCTCCTGCTGAGTCTACCAGGCTGATTTTGTCCAGAGAAGACAAATGGTAGGAACGGACAGCAATAAAAGAAATGTTGGCTGGAATATAAGGGACACACTCTGTCTCTCACTCACCAGAGATGAAGTAGTTATGGAGCTATAGTGGGAAACTAGACTACACCGGCACCCATTTGAGTTTTAAATAAGGTCCCCCTACACGTACCGCCAGGATATCACAACATTAGGTAAAATAGATAAATTGATTGTCTATTGTTTTTCTCTAAATGCTTTGTTACTATTGTTAAGCAATACACTGATATTTAAGAAGGGCAATTTGTCACTGAACACCACTGGTAGACTACTGATGACTAGTTTAATGAGCATGTACATCTTCTATACACTAGGAGTTTAAACTGCATTTGGGACAATCTAATCATTTACATGAGCCCACACCCCAGGTGTTGAACCCAGGTGGACCTGCTCAGTAAGTAAAGCTGTTCCACAAGGAGCCTGTGGCTGAGTTTTAAAATGGAAGAATTATGGGATCCCTGCCTTGATAAAGAAGCACGGGGCTTCATACTTAATGGGATATGTTCAAAGAGACTAAAGGGGTGAAATATATGGGTCATATTACTATATCATATATACATGGTTTTTCCTTCACTGATAGCACCTGTTAAGAAATATGCTCGGAAGTAAACCATGAGATTACATTTCACAGGCCCTAATCCTACAAAGATTTCAGTAATAATATTGACTTCAACAAGGCCATTCTTATGCATAGTTACATTCATGCTGAAGCTTTCACTAAATTGGGGATTTATTTATGGCTAAGATGTTTTATTTTTGAGTTTTAAAGAACTCCTACTATAAGTGGTATAAAAAGAATCATTTGACATGGATTAACCAATAAAATTTTATTTACAAGAATTCTGAAAATAATCTTTTTTGTATGCTAATTAAACTTTATTATTTTTCACACCTTCTAATTTTTAATTATTATTGACCAAGATAGTACAGGCAGCTTCTATCAAAGATATTTCAGATGTCCAAAATTGATTTTTTTCCTTTTTTTCGTATCTCAAAATATTTAGTTCTGAATATTTTTGTATTTTTAATTTTATCTTCTTAGATACAGAAAACAGATTAAATTAATTTAAAAAACTGGTCTGAACACGTCTGTGAGCTTAAAAGAAATTCATCCTAGAGTTGAGCTTCCTACTCCAAAATGCAATGTTTTATATAAGAAATATATTTGATAAATGTGTTTGTTTATTTTTAAGGACATTTTTAGTTACTGGTTCAGACAATAAGATATTTTCTAAATAACAGGCACATTCTGAGTGAGACTTTAAAATCAACATTATCAGAGGTCAGGGCTTTCTTAATTATGTAAAAATTGTATAATTTTATGTAAAATTATGTAAAATTTTAGGCAGTAAAAGGCCTAAAGTTAAAAGCCACACTTTTAGTTCACATTTGCAGTATATCATTATGCTGTATGTCTAATTCAAGAGCAATCTAGCTATTATTCAATGGAAGCTAGAACCATAACCATGATGCAATTGGTCTGCAAGAAAAGGGTGTGTTTTCTTTTGTTCTTTGAAGGCCACTTGGTGGTTGATTTATGAAATAGCATAGCTAGAAACAACCAACACATTCCATTCCAATGGCAACAAAGGAAATATAAGATGACTCCAGCCTGAAATGAAGGCCAGTTACACATACTTTGAAATATGCAGCACTAACTTGCCTGCTGGCACAAAAGTGAACAAAGAGGATATGCTAAAAAAAACCATTATTTTGTTGCCCATCTTCTCTCTTACTGAAAAAATATATCAATATTAAATTTGAGCTCAGGACAATCTTCTACTGGATCCTGCAGTGACATAAATCTGATGTACTTCTGACAACATAATTTATTGTGATGGAAATGATTCTAATATCAGGAATTCTTTATAATAAATTTCAGGAATCACCATCTGGAAAAGGGAACTTAAAATCTCTTTGCCATGTGGGAAAGAGACTTTTTGTTTCAGAACATCAGATCAGGCAATACCCATTTCTTGAACCAAAAAGTTAAAAGTTTGAAGCAACAGCATATTCACTTTGCAAGAAAGTCAGCATAGGCAATTCTCACTATTCTTAACAATTCTAAACACAACTTGAGCTTCAATGACACGCAGACTTCTTAAATATGTTTCTTAAAAACAACTATACTTGTGGGTTTCCTGTTTAATTACTTCTTCTTCATTATCAGCCTATTCCAAAGAAGGCTGAAGTGCAAATTAGGATTTTCTTCTATTTCACCGTAAAGATGTTACCATGCACATGCAAAGAGTGATGGGTCACGCTCTATCTCCAGGGAAGCTGAACTATCCAAGGGACTTTCCTTTGCTTCTCTCAGCTGGTTCACCAGAACCTGCTGGCAGTATAGAGGTAGAAGTCTACTGACTCAAATGCAGAAAGGACCAGAGCAGGACTTCAGATATTATGGTGGAGAACACTGGGTTGTAGAGCAAGCAGGGTGGAGGCTGGGGCTGAAGTCTAACAGAAATAAAAATGGAGCTGGCGGGTGATTAGGACTGAGAGCCAGGGAAATGGAAAGTGGCAGGAAACCAGTGGGAGAGGGGAAACTAGGTTAGAGAGGGGGAGGAAGGACAACATATCTAATAAGCAGCTAGGATACAGGGGAAAAGAACTAGAACTGGCTGGGAAAAGTGACAGGATAAGGAGATAGGGAAGGCAAGAACACTGTTTATATGCAAAGCTTGGTACTATATTTGTCTTTATTACTACCAGCCCATACTTAAATGCCTGCACAATTTGTTCCTATATTTAAAAAAGAAAAAGCAACAACAACGAATCTTCTGCAGGACAATAAGGATCATATATTAGCAGTGCTATCTGCATAGTTCCTAACTCTGCTGTTACAATCTTCTAATCATTTATGTTGCACTAAAATCCATTCCAAGAAAGGAAATTTGCTTAAATCACCAACAGTGAAAATCATACTGCCATATAGGTGTTTCATTTTAGAATTCCCAGCTGCCCTAATGTATGAGAGAAAGACAGATGTGCATGTGAAAGACAAATATACAGAAACAAAGACCTATGCCTATGTCAGCACAAATTAGAACAGTAAATCTCCAAATTATTATTACAGGGCCTAATCTAGAGAAAAATTGCTGACAATTCCGATTCCAAATGAAGTGGTAACTGCATTTTCCAAAAATCTCCAGCTCTAAGCATAAAGTAATGTGGAAGGAAGGAACAGGAATGGGCCAGAACTGAAATGTATGATTATAGGTACCTTCCCACCGATCAATAAAGAGGGGCATATTGCCAAAGTTTCAGCTCATAGTCTAGAGATTAGTGGCTCTTGGGCTACTGCTTTCACACAAATAATTCTGCATAATCTTACTAAAACTGACAGAACTTTAACACATGGCACCTTAAGGAAAAGCATGTTGACTCCAAAGGCAGGGAGTTCAAGTGGAATATTCCTTCTGCCAGTGGTAAAAGCAATCAAATACTGTCCTTTACCTGAGCTCTTCACGTACTTCCATCACCGTGTGGCCAGACATGATGAATATCTCATTCATGGCATCAGTGAGCATACGGCAGGAGTAACCAATGTTCATAGCAGTTTCTGAGGGCCATAAATACCAGTTTAGGTTAAAATATTTTTAATTAAATTGGTACTCATTTCAGTGTTAACATCATCAGTATATACTGACAATACTGAACTACCATAATGAAAGTCATTGTCTAATATATTTTACTGCATAGCATTTAATAAATCTGCACTCTCTCTTATGGGTCTATTATTTTTAATATAGTAATGCTTAGAGGGTTCCATTGTGAAAAGGACCACGAATATATACTGGGAGATCCATTGCATGTCCATAGAAACAAAAAACTAGAAAATCAACAAGGCTGGGAGGAAAGACTGAGGCACAAAAAAGCAAAATATATTGCCCAAGGTCATCATTTGCTGGACAAAGATTGATCTAAGGTATTGACTAGGAAGAATAGGTGAATATTAACGCAGCATAAGTTACTGAACATGAAATAGGATGCAAACATTTTTATGGTGAAAGGAAGAATGGAGGGAAAGGGCTAAAGGGCAAATGAGAATGATGTGGAAGAGGAGTAAGTTATGACAGCAAACTGTATGGCAAAAGACAGATAAAGCCCTCAAATTAAATCAATAGTCTTACTTATAATAAGATACTAGACAGACTACAAGAAATACATAACCAGAAATGGATAAAAAATTAACTACATGGAGAAGTTTTTAGAAAAACCCACAAAAAGAAGATGGCAAATTCTAAGGCTGGTAAAGGAGAATTGAAAAGTCAACAGAGAATTTAATTACAGCTGCACATAAGATCTGTCAAAGCAAAAACAGGTGGTAGGAAAGATGCCAGTCCAGATTCTTGGCCTAGCCCCACATAACTAGGTGCATCAAACTGGCTGAGAACAATTATGAAGTATGACATGGCAGGCTTGGTTTATTCTATACTTGGTACAAAAAGTCTGGACTATACCATCACTCAGACAAAGAGGGGGTGAATAAGAATCATTGTTTTTCATGAAATATATGTTAAAATACCAAGATTGAGGGTTGTAAGAAAGGAGGAAGGAGAACACATGAAAAATATAAGCACATCTCAGTTATTTGTGGTGCATCTGAATCTCATGATTGGGGCATCACAATTGCATAAATTGGAACTGGCTCTATTATAAGAAAATGGATCCTCCAGAAAACAACATTGATGGCTACACCTCTAAAATACTGAGGAAAATGACAACATTTAAACTCAGTGATCCTTTCATCTAGTTAGACACATATTAATAGTTTTATTTTTGCCAGAGAGCCCAGATTATAAAAAGAAAATAATAATGTTTAAAGCAATGTATCCCCTTACTTTGTGTGCAAAGGAACTATGCAAGTGTCAGTGAATTCATCGCCATCTGTTACACTAACAAAAAATATATATGTATTAATGGTTACCTGGTTTATCTCCTGTTAGAACCCAGATCTTAATGTTAGCAAGTGATAAACTAGCAATGGTTTCTGTAACTCCCTCTTGCAATTTGTCTTCTATAGCAGTGGCACCTAGTAACTAGTAAGGAAGCAGAACATTTAGGAGACATTAGACAAACTCTGCAAATCACTACAATATTTTAAGAAATCAAGAAATCTGAAGAATATAAATAAAATAGTTTTAGACAGGTAAAATGCATGGAACATAAGGTGCAGACAGAAGTGTAGCTAAAGCGCCATGAGTTAGACCTATCCTCCCAACTCAACAGATATTAGCTGTTGGGTCAGGAGGGTGGAGGATTGAGCTCCAATTTGGAGCTGATCCAAGGAGAGAGGCTGCATGCCTGTAGCCTCTTCCCATAGCTCTGTCCCCACTTTGATCTCCCATGCTGATTCAGGAAGGGGGGAGAGGGGGAGAAGGCAGGGGAGGGAGGTCCATTCTGGGCATTCCCCAGCAACACTAAAGTGAGGTGTGGGGGGCTCCAATCACCCGCCCCACCCTCTACCACCAGCTAGGCAACCACCAGAATGAGCTCCCTCCACTCTCTTCCTTGCCCCCCCATTCTGAAAACAGCACCAGGAGCAGTGTTGGGCTGTGTCAGCTGAGCCCTGCTCCCAGCAAGTGCAGACAGAATTTACTGAGGGTGGTTCACTTTAGAGTGCCTTCATCTGAACCCTCATGTAATAAGGATTCAGATTTTCATGGGACTGAAAAAGTGTCCTGCAGCCTTTAAAAGTGTCCTGCAGCCATGCACTTGTATTTGGTCATGACTGTAGAGTGCTTTCAGGGGCCAGATCAGGCAAAAATTGTCACTTCTGTCCCTGCCTATAAAGTCAAGTGAAACTTTATTATAATGCACTACGCTCAATCTCACAATTTTATAGAGAACAAAGAAAAAACTGCCTACCTCTGAAGTAACGGTGCTCAACCTTTTTGCCCCATTGCCTGGATGAGCACTGCCCAGTCTGTCTGAGGGCCAGATCCAGCTGGTGGGTCCAATCTGGCTACATGGATCAAGGGGGCATGGCTTGGCCCCAATCCAGCCATGTGGGGGAAAAGGGGGAGAAGGGGGCATGGCCACCTCCAATCCAGGGGGATTGGGTCATGGTTTAGCCCTAACCCAGCAGTGCAGGGCTTGAAATTTGGCAGTGGGGGAGGGGTGGCATTATTAATTACCACCGCTCCCCTGTTGCCAAATTTTCTGACCTTGGAAGAGCTTTGGGGGCTGGATGCCCCCAAAGCCTGCCTGCCTGCCTGCCTGCCTCTGCCAGGCTAGATTTGACATATGAGCTGGGGGTTGAGCACCTCTGCTCTAAAACAAACTACAGTGCAATTTTTATCAGAACCATACAATATATCATTTCAGTGCAGGTCTGGCTGCTCAAAGTGGGAGGGAGGGGGCCCCTTCAAATCCTTGTCTTGCCAAGCTAGCTGGCATCATCAGATTTATCATAATTATCTTCTAGCTGGAAGCTTGTTGCCTCTGTTTTCTTAATACAGCTATATATAACCATATCAAATCTCACCGAAAGACAGTTAGCAGTGGTGCCAAACTACAGGCCAATCTAGTGACATGAGACTGGTTGTGGGGGTTGAGCCATGGGCTGGATCTGATACATAGAGAACCATGTCATCTAGTCAAAGGGGCTGGAATTTGGCACTGGCAACAATAACTGCTGCAGCTCCAAGAGCCACTGCTCCTTCCACCACCAAACTTTCAGTCCTGCACTCTAGATCCAGCCCATTGGGCTTTCTACTGGTCCTGAAATGTGGCAGCAGGACAAGCAGCAACAGCATTAATGGCTCCCAGCAATTCATGCTAGCACCACTCAACATACCACCAAATTTCTAGACCTGTGGGAGCCCTGCGGACCAGATGACATAACTCCATGGGCTGTATCTTGGTCACTGTAGCTATAGAGCAATGCAAAGGATGAGAAAGGAGTTAAATTTGTGCTATCAGATTGGGATACAACATGTATTTCAACTTTAATATAGGATAGAGACTGGCAGGGTACATCATCACGACAAAGTCAGGGTGCAACATTTCAAGGGAATTTCAAGTCACTTGTGGGCCCAGAAGACTGAAACAAATGTGGCCCTTGTACATGTGTTCAACTCATCCTTGATTATAAGTAGTGCATATATAGATCTGAGGGGACCTGGCCCTTAGAGAGGTAGAAATAAATAAAGATTATTTTTATTTGAAGTGAGTCAGTTAAATAGAGCAAGTCTCTCATGGTTGCTTCCAACATCTTAAAATCAATCATCACTACAGCGAAGCATATTACGGGCCTACAACAACCTTGTTTGTAGCAAAGTACTGAAAGAGAACACAAAAGAATCCCTCTGTAACATAGTACATCTTCCTAATATGTCTTGCAAATGCTAAGTCTCTAAGAACATACCATCATGTCTCTTTCAATCTCTTCATATGCTGTAGCAAGCTGTTCATCCCTGCTATCTACTGAAGTCTTTGCCTCCTGAAGTATTTTAAACCATTCTTTAAAGTGCTCTTCAGTCAAGTTTTTGTAGGCAAGGACTAACGTCCGAAGGCCTTCTCCTGCAAACTCCTAGCAAATGTGGATAAAAGATAGACAGTATGTATGTGAACAAAGTCATATCTACATTTCAGGCACTTCTCTGTCTTCTTCCCTCTCTCTAATTAACCCTGTTAATCTGATGCTAGGCAGAAGGAAGGACAGAGTGGCACCTTAAAGACTGTGGGCATTTTTACACATGTTGTAGGACATGGCACCAGGCACCTTAATTAGTGAGCTGCACTAATTAAAAGTGCCCACACATCATATGCATCAGCATTGCCACACATCCCCATGCTGAAAAAATGGCAGTAGGGTGATGCTGCCATTGAACATGTTTTATTTCGAAGCTCACTGCTGCCATTTTTTCAGCATGGAGATGCATGGCTACACTGATGCATGTGATGTGGAAGACTGACTCAAATGCAGAATGAGCCGTTTCTCAAATGAGCAATTTCCGTGCTCCAGCAGACATGAATCGAGTCTTCTGCTCCGATGCGCTGACTTTCCAATGCACTGGAGCAGGCTCCGCGTATACGTATAGAAGCCTTGTGATTTGCAGAAAGCAGGGTTCTAAATAGGAAACAATAAACTAATGTAAATGCAAAGGATAGGGAAAAGTGGAGGAAAGAGTAGGGTAATGGGGACACTGTTAAGAGAGGCAGAGGTGGGTTGAACAGATCCAAAGGGAAAAACAAACAGTTAACCCATCGAGGGACAAAAGTTATAAAATTACTCCAGGTAATGAGTTTAAAGCACTTACATCCCTGTATAGGTTAACTGCTTTGCAAAGTTTGTAAAGATTTCACCATCTCCCAGATAAATTTATTATCCAAAATATATTCACTCCTTGATTGCTTAGTCTCTAAACTACTAATTTTTTTAAGGTTAAACACAAAGATCATGGGCATTTTTAAGACATAAATCATTTCAGGAAATGTCTTTGACCTTGCAACACAAATCAAAGAAAATAGAAAATACTCTAACAAGGATATTTTTATTTTAAATGAATATATGAAAAACTACTAGAAAACTATTACACAATGAATACAACGTAGAGGTGGTTAATCTTGTTAGTCTGAAGTCAAGCAGAATGGTACCTTAAAAACTAACTGGCTCAGAAACGCATGCGCTCTCGTAGGTAACAGTCTACGTTTTCAGATCAAGGGAAACATTACAATTTAAGGAAAAAATAGCAAAGGCTTGCAAATTAATAAACATAACAGAAAAGGAAAAAGAGTTTGTTTGTTTGTTTGTTTACAGGAAAGTCCATTCTGCATGCACAGAGATTTTTACACATGCACACGTTCATGTTCCTTTAATTTCACTGGGTAAGTATGGAAACCCAAGGTTTTAGCATTGAGTAATTGCAAAGATCAGATAGTTATGATTCCAGCCTTGCTTTCATAAAAAACATGTTGGCCTTCTGGAAAAGATTAAAAGAAAGCCAAGAAAGCTGTATTATAGAGATGAAAACAATAGTTATGTTTGTAACCAATATTACTAAACCATCATACTGTATACTTAATGTCAAAGGAGTATTTTTTTTAAAGAATCATGGAATGGTTTGTATTAAATGTGGATACTTACAAAGAACATGAATTCTAAAAAAATAAATGAAGGAAATGAGAGCTTTATCCAGTTTCCCTTAAAGTTCACATTAGGTTAGACCCTCAAACCAAGCAAAAAAAATACATATTTTATTTAAGACCAGTTTAGCAAACTGAATAATCTCTATAGCTTCCCAATGATTTTTCACAAGGGATTCCAAGGCTCTAAATACCCTATAAACACTGCAAGTACTTCAGCTGTTTTGGATGTTAAAAGCATCATGTCATTTACCTGGACTTATCTCTCTGACTGGCCCCAAAGGGAGTGTACAGATGAGCGTGCATGTGCCTCTTGTGGCGAAAGACACGGCGAGAGGCAGGCTGAGACTGAAAAAATGTTCCCCG